TGATGGAGAATATGAGGTTAAAAATGAAGGAAAAGTCATGGATTCAAGTGCTTTTATTAAGAGATTGAGTATTAAAAATGAATTTTAAAAAATTATATCAAATAGGAGCTATAAGTTTAATTTAATTTTGTAAAAAATAATTTTATATATTTTTGTTATTTCCAAAAAGACTTTTTGTTTGATGGACTTCATTTCAAAATTAATTTTATTATATACTCATTTTCAACCACGTATTCAGCCAATAAAATAGAATAATGTTATCTAACACCATGGGTATTAAAACACTAGTTTAGATGACATGTAAGTGACTGTCATCTTAAATATGATTTATTCAATTAAAGACACATGTAAGTCACTTAAATTGTTGCTTAACACCAATAGTAATAAATAACAATACTTAATAAAATATTCTGCACGTAAATTTAAAAGTTTTCTATATTTTTTAACAAGAAGTTCTTAAAGACTTCACTATTCAAAATATTATTGTGGCTAAATAATAACCATCCATGGAGTTGCTTAATCAACTCAATCATTAAATGAAGTTAGCCAATTAATACACCAATTATGCTTGGTTGCTTGACAAAATGTTCATGACATGTCATTGGACTGTTTAAAAAAACATAATTTTTGTAGCTAATCATTTTTTGACAACACTTAATCTAATCAACCGACGAAATAGACTTAACTCTTAGAGTTATGCTATGGATACATAAGAGTACCCATAGGGGTGTGCGGGGACACCCGTATGGCTGTACTAGCATTTTCTTAACTCTTAATATACTTGATCATTATCAACAACTTGTCAAATCATAATTATAGTAAGAACATGTGCACTCAATCACTTGGACTCAAGAGTTTGTCAACAAATGCATGTTTAGCATCTCAGTCTACAATTATTTCAATCTCATTTTAAATTAAGCACTCTAATGGTGAAATATTTTATACATAAATCTAATTTTTTTTCACATTTTAACCATACATTTTCTAAAAATTTAAAACTCATTTTCCTACTTTAGAGTATGTTTGATCCCCACTAATTTCAAAATACATTTTTTTTATTTTTTCTTTTCAGCCACACAATTTTCAATAAAATAATATGCAAAATAATGGAGCTCAAACACGCCCTTAATGATAGACGAAACATGGGCTTAATTTTTCTGTCTTTATTCTTCTACGAACCTTTTATTAATTTCATCCCTACTTACAATTTCGTTCAAAACTTCTACTAAAGTACGTAAAAGACAAACTTGCCTTTAAAATTATATAAATTGAAAACAAAAGGACTGAAAAATAAAACGTAAAAGATAATATTTTTTTCTTTTCCAACAAAATAAAAGGACTGAATTTTTTATTGAAAAATAAAAAAAATAAAAACTCTTCTTTAGCCCTGTTCGATACCCATAAAAAATAGTTTTTGAGAAGAATGAATTTTAAAATAGTGATTTTCTGAAAAATGTGTAGTTAAAAAGTAGAAAAATATTTTAATTTACGTATAAAATATTTTATTATTTTATTGTGAGGGTGTGTAGTGAGAATGAATTTAAAAAATAAATAAATGGGGGAATGGTAAACAAAGACAGGCTTTTTGACTCACTACCAGCACCGCCCCATTACACCATCTGGACTGCTATGTCAACGGCTATCACCTGTGAAACCGCCGACTTCACGTATTGACCAAACTTTTTGACCACTCCATGCCACCTCACCACTAATAACAACCAGCACTATGATCTCGACCCACCTTTGCATCTTGAAAAGTTGATTTTGTATCAACTTTGACTAATAATTTGAATTTGATTCGATTGTTAAATTATGAAAATAATATATTTAACTAGTCAAGTAGATGATTGTAATCTATTTGAAATCTTAAAATCAATTACGAATGAATAAAAAATTGTTATTCAAAGTTGAAAAAAAAAAAAAAAAATTCAGAATATATGATTGACGTTCGGTAAACGCCAGGTCTCTATTAATAACTCTTGAGAGCTACATGAGCTCTAGGCGAGCACCACGAAGGGCTGCGACCCTTGATGGAAGATGCTAAGTTTTGGGACATGTTTGATGTTTCTTCGGTCGCCTTCCATAAATTAGCCCCCTTAGTCGCCATTAAATCATTCTGTATCAAATTCATTCATTGGTTTGCATAAAAGCACTTCATTAAAGTGATTTTTTCTTGAATCAAGAATCATGTTGTTGTAGACAAAAAAAAATTCCGTTTCAAGTTCGTTGGTGTACATAATTTGAAGTGCTCCTATTGCGAGAGGTAGTCGTTGTATTTTGGGAAATGATTGTCGAAAATCTTTAGCATCGATGCGGAGTAAATTCTTTTTAAGGAGGAAGTGTAAAACACTTGTTTGGACCAATTCTATCACTTGCATTTCTATTTCTGATTTTTTTTTTTTTTAAATTTGTGTTTTGGTTTAGAAATACTAACTTTCTATTGTTTAAATTTGAAATGTTTTAATTGAAGACCACTTTCATTGAAGAACGGAAATGCTTGAATTCATCTTCATATATTCGGTTTCGGTAAGTCGAAACTTCGTTCGTTTTTCATACTTATGTGAATGACTGTAGAATATAATGTATGCACGTCTATCGGTGTAAAAACCCCTACATTACAACATTGAGACCACGATACATATAAAGGACCTTAAATGTACGACACGCATAATTCTTCCCGAATGAGGGTATATTTTGTATAATCAATTTGCTATTACACCATAGAGGAGATCCAAAGTGTTATATATTTATATAATAAATATAATATGTGAAAAATAATTAATTAAGATGAAGTGTCCAACTAGTGAAAAGTGTGAAATTTGTGTGGGAGGTCAGGTGTTCGAACCACGCTTCACGCACTATATTAAAAAGTCTTTGATTGGGTCTTGGGGCCTTGGGCTCTTGGACTTAATTGATTCTAATAAAATAATAATTATTATTTTTTTAATTATTTTCTGAATTATTTATTGGGTCAACTAGCCAGTAGAATATGACAGTTTTAACTGCCCAATATTAATACTCATTACCATTGGCCATTACATCTGCAACTTAATACTAGATCATGGTGGAAGATGTTACATCTCTTTCTGCCTATATAAACACACTTTTGGGTATTAGAAAATAACAAAAAAAACGAGATTATATATTTCTATACAGTACAAATATTGTTCTTAATTTTACAAATTTCTGGAGTACACTTGAGAGTTCTGGAAACCTTTTGTGATTGATGCACAATTGGTTTATTTGATTGTTGTATCTTGGAGGTAATTGTCCACAGAGGTCGCAACAGTTATCGACGGGTAATTTCGCTTTAGGATATCGTGCTGTCACGAGACTCGATCTATTGATAAGTTTTTATGCACTTTACTGTTATTTTATCCAACACAAAGTGCATCCACAAGCAAAGAGACGGACAAGGATTGCAGCTTCCTTGTGATCAAAACCTGCAAATGCAACTAGTTAACTATGAACAAGGAAGCGAAAATTTACGAGAGCAACATAGGAAACATAAATAAGCAATTTACAAAGAGGTTTAAAAGTTCACTTTAATGTTAGAGGCACATCCACTTCAATGTTTCACTATAAAGAAAACTATTGAATGTTCATGACTTTTTGTCCATCTCTCACAAAAAAACAACCTTCTTAGGACTACTTTATATATATGGAACATGTAATGTACCCTAAATAATAGGTCAATCAACCGCCAAAGGGACAAGACATCACAATGTTTGTGATGAGGACTAGTGGTGGAAGAGACCTCGCGACGGTAATGAGCGAAGATGGTGTATGAATGCGTTTGGGTTGGTTGAAATTTTTCCCTCGATATGCAGTGGCCGTGATTTTGAGTGTTGGTGGTTTCGTAAGTGGTGGCATATATTGAGACTTGGAAATTTATATTAAAAGATCGATATTGATAAGAGGAATTTTATAATTAATCATTTTGAGAGTAGACCCTTAACAGCGGAAGATGGTACTCGTCGACGGTGGTGGGATAGATAGTGTGTATTTTTATTATAAGGGGGTGCTTGGGGGATAGGTCACTTGTTTTTTCTTTTTCTTTTTTATTCTTTTACATGTCTTTTTTGGTTTTTTGGTTTTTTTTTTTTTTTTTTGTATTTAAAGTTATAAATGTCATTTCATACCCTTGAACAATTTTTTTTTTTTTTGACAAATTCATGAGTGAGCAGTTAGAACTATTATGCTAATTAACGGAAAATTGGATGAAAGAAGTTAAATATTTGAATGGGATGAAATTGAGACAAAATAGAAAAGTTGGGGATTTTTGGTATAATAAACTCTATTTATAAATATTTGTTCGACTCCTGTTGGGCCAAACCTTGTGGGCCCACGTCATTTGTTACGACAAGAAAGTCCAAAGTGAGGGGGCCCAATTGCCCTCTCCACGCTAAGCTCGTGCAACACCACAGTGCCACACTCACAAAATTTAAATATAAAGAAAACATAAAATAATAAAATGGGGGAAGGGATTAACGACTGACCCGTGATCCATGCTCAAAACGAAATTCACGAAATTGAACCACCAAAAAATAAAATAATATAAATAAGCCAAAAGGTCATGTTGTCACCACTTGGATCAAGTTTTATCTTTTCATCGTAGCCGAAATTTGTTAGAAATTAAGGAATAAATAAGATTTATGATAAATAAATACTATTTTTATATCTCAATTAATAGTAATAATAAATTAAATTCTATTGTCAATAAATTGAGTGATGTCATATAGTTTTGTATACTCTAAGTTCACGAGTTAGAATATAAACAATGTCTCGATATAACTCTTTTTTTTTTTTAAAGTAACCCTCACTTATGGTGGAGGAAAACCGTGGTGACAAAACAACCTTACAAACTACGAAAAAACAAGACAAATTAACTCACTTTCGAATATAGGGAACTCCAATGCGGTCCAATCGTGCAAGACCTCGAGCATACATAGGCAAGCCAATACTAAAACGCTGCGTTACTCCATGTGCACCCATTTTTGCTAGGAAATCCGCCACTTGATTCCCTTCCTGAAACTGGTGTGATACCTGAATCTCAAATAAATTCATCAAATTCAATAACTCCTCCCAAAAATCCCACAAATACCAAACAGTGCACTTGCGTTTCAACATCCATTCTACAACAATCTTGGAATCACATTCAACATCAACATGGAAAACTCCTATATGTTGGCAAAGTTTAAGACCCTCAAGCAGAGCTCTCAGCTCAGCTTCATTATTCGATGCTATCCCAAAATTAGTGGCAAACGCTGCCAGCACCATCCCTTTATCATTACAAATCACTCCTCCTCCACATGCCTGGCTCGGGTTTCCCAAACTACTTCCATCTACATTAAGCTTTGCTCTCCCAAGCATCGGTTTCTTCCAAGTCACCAAATGTACTGGTGATAATATCCTGACGACACAAGGAATGCCCATATCTGTTAGAAACTTTTCCTCTTCCCGTGTTAATACTCTGGTCTTTTTAACATTAGTTGCTAAGTGCTGCAACCAAAATCTAATGGACAGAACAACATCTTCAACTGATTCATACAATCCCTCCATTCTTGCTTTACATCTTCGAATCCAAAACCTTCAAGTTACTAAACATGGGATAAATCATTGTAAGCATCCTAGTTGAGAGGATCTCATAGCTCTTGCCACCAAATTTTATCCTATCCCACCAGGACTGCCTTGTACGCCACCTAACACTAAGTGCCAATGAAAGTCTCCTCCACACCTCATCTGCAAAGTCTCCAGCACTTAAAACATGGTTTGAGTCCTCCTCATGGCCAGTCGTGCAACAATTGCACCGAGACGCCATAGCCACTCCAATTTGACGTACCCTATCATCAAAGCTGAGACTCCCCGACAAAGCCTTCCATATCACAACTGAACTCCTCTTAGGAAGAGCGTTATGCCACACCGTGCTTTTCAAAGAATAAGGCTTCGTTTTAGATTGCATTTTAAAGTTCTAACTTCTGCTTCTCCAATAAGCACTAGAATTATGCTATTTGTACCATTTGACTTATACTTTGGTTTATCCGACTCCATCTCCTCCCTCATATGGGGATCGGGTCCCATGCATCCAATAAATGCGTTGGACCTGACCCCCATGTGAGGGAGGGGGTGGGATCGGGTAAACCAATATGTCCCATACATGTAGCAAGATTGTAAGCACTATCCGCGTAGCTACCACCTTTCTCACGTGTTGTAGGACATGTGTATCTCAAGGATCAAAGTTGACTCTAGATATTTTTCTTCAACACCAAAACAATTATTTTATTGAGAAATTAAGCATCGCAAACTATAACGATACAAAAAAGGAATACAATCGAGTCAACTGTTGAAAATAATATTAAAACTTTCAAATTGGAAATTAAAATGTCAGTTTCTTGTATTTTAATTGTTCAATTTTTTATTTTTTATTTTCAGATTCAATACAAAATTTAATCTCATTATTATATTTGTAACTTATATTTAATTTGATTAATTTTCATTATCTGAGTATTGAATTTTTTTACTATAAAAGGGGGTGAATTTTCCATTGTTTTACACAACAAAAACAAATATTTGAAAAACTCTTTTGAGTCATTTCATATTATCTTTTGGCAATTGATAAGGACTTGCTTTATTTCTCCTTGTGATCGTGTCTATAAAGGAGAACCGGCTGCGAGCTATAAGGGTTTTATCTTCAAACCGTGTAGTGCCGAATGTGCCTGCACGAAGGGGAGTCCACACGACTTTAGGACATCGTTCATTGCGACTCTCTTAGGCCAACTTTTCAAACTCTCTCATATTTTTATTATTTGATTCATGCTTATAGTTGATAATTTATTACACAAATCATGTAATTTTACAACATCAACTCCTATACGCTAAACTTAACGTAGATAAAAACGCCAGTTTATAGACCATTCCATTTTCTGTGAGCACAAAGAGACATGTCCCAAAAACCATCTCACGAAGAAACGTGCTACAATATCCCAAATAATCAAAGCATTACCCAACCCCTTTGTGTTCTTTCTAAATGTCCGGATTACCTTAGAGCATCACATTCAACTATATTAATAACCAGCTAACATTCTAGGACAAAGAAAAGCCCAAGCTGCCACAATCGTTCTCTCATTGTTACACACGATAGCTTCAATACCAATAAACCCATACTCCATTCTACAAGCTGTAATTTTCAAAAATTGGGCTACGTCAAAACATCAAAATAATCTATTTTGGGTATTCGACATGGGCGTAAATTTGGGTCAAGCCACCAAGTTGGGGTAGCAGGGGAGCATCGAGATCCCAACACGCCATGGAGTGTAAACCTAGTCCGCATCAGACAACCCAAAAGTGAGTCAGCTTTACACTTTTTTTCCGAGTCAACTTGAATTTCGTGTTTCTGATCTTCTACACCAATCATTTTAAAAACAGATTTTTAAATCATTTGAAATCAACGGTCTGAATTTTGCCAACACACTTTGTAACCCAACTTTTGTAACTCAACTCTATACAAATAACTTCATTGCTCTACTTGAGATGATGTCCCTAACAACATGCAGAGCAACAGATTTCGAGAACAGTTTCAGCACAATGATTGTATTAAAGATTATATTGCAACATTTTCTGAAGTCGATATGAAAATGAAGAAACTCAATCCAATAACTATGTGTCTACGTCCCCGGAAGGTAAAAATAAGCACAAAATGTTATCAGACGAAAAATTTCTGTAGGAAAACAATTTGAACGAAATTTTACAACATCTCCGTTTCTTTTAGACTGGCTATTCTAGCATTCTCGCGATCATGCTTAAAAGTCCAATACAATGGTGTGTAAAACAAGCAGCATAAACCAAATGGAACCACCATCATCGCAAGGAGCCCTCTTGACAATGCAAAAGCCTCTCGTGTTGATCCCAAGAGGGGATCGACAGACTTCGTATCGTAGCCATATATCTTTTCTGAAAGAATTCCTACGACTGGTGCAGCGAAAGAGGAAAATGATACCTCGAAAGCACGATCAAACGCATAAATCATTGTACGATGGTTCGTGGGGACCACCTCAGCAAACATCGGGCCGTTCGTAGCAGTAGCACACCAGCTGATGGTAAGGCCCATTATGAATAGGGTGACAGCGAATATATAATAGCTGCTCACGTTCTGTGGGATAACTCGGAGAAGGAACAATGAGAACGGGATGCCCATAAAGGAGCTGAACTGTGCACACATTATCCTTCCCGAATGAGGGTATATTTGGGATAATTTATCTGCTATTACACCACCGAGAAAAGATCCCAGAGCGCCTCCAGCAGCAAAGAGACTGACCAGGGTTGCAGCCCCGTTGTGATCAAAACCTACGGATGCATCTAGTTAACTAGTGATCAAGCAAGCAAAAGTATAAGGATCTGATATTTGATCAAGTCTAAATCTCCATTACCATCTATGGAATATTTAGTATACCCCTAAATAACATGTCAATCCATGATCGAGGGGATATGTATACAGTATGATTAGGCTCCACATTTCAACAAATCACTGGCTAAGTTCTGACCACTTCCTTTCTCTCCGTCATCGAAGGTTTCAAAAGTAACAGAAAAAATTAAGACTTGCAAGACTAAAAACTTAAAATTTGAAATTTATAATAATTCATTTCATCATAAAGCAAAAATCATCACAAGACATAGTATGAAGTACAGGAACAACTTACCGATTAGTTCAAACCAGAAGGTAAAGAACACAATTGCTGTCCACGGAATTGAACCAACAAGACCTTGTAAAACAATGAATTGAAATGTTTGCACTTTCATGACAGATTTCATGGCTGCCCACGACTCTGACCAAATTGTTACCGAACTGGTATTGCTTTTGTCTATCAACTTATTCCTGAAGCACGAAAATTCACAATTGCAATACAGCACGAGAAAGTATAATGTTAATAAAGTAACTGAATAGAGAGTCATACCGATCAGAAATCTTGCCCATATCTTGATCAGTGCTAATTCTTCTTGGGTCAACAACAAACTGAAATACGAGGAACCCGATTAAACAACTCAAGGTTGCCATCATGATGAAGGCACACCGCCATCCGGGTACACCCCAGAAATCATTACCAGCCATAACGGTAGCAATAGCTCCACCTCCTATGCCACCAACTGTACCAACTAGATTTAGAAACCCAAATCCGGCACCTCGTACACCATCTTTATAGCTATCCGCAATGAAAGACTGAAGTGCGGGTATTACAATTGCCAGTCCAAAGCCATTTACTGCTCTCCAAAATGCAATTTGCAAAAAGTACTTGCTTGCACCCACTGCAGCAGTCGACAAGGCCCAACACAGGGTGCCAATTGCAAGTACAGTAGGGCGATCATAACTGATTGCTAAAATACCTGCGACAGGTGATGCCAGTCCCTGTACAAAGTTCCGTACAAATGTGAGATATCCAAGATCTGATGGCCCTGCAGAAAAAGCTTCACTGACTTCTTTGTAAACAGCCGGAAGGAGATTCTCATCAGCTCGTTCCATTATAGCGGCCAAGTTGATGATAATTAAAGAGAGAGAGATGCCTAAAATTTTTCTGGTTCTGTAATATGAGAATATAGATCCAAATTCATATCAGAGAAAACAATGTAATATAAACATCTCAAATTATGATAGGAATGAAAACTATTATTACAGTCATTGGCATCTATAATCTTAAAAATTCAACTTCGAGTATGTAAGTCAATGAAAACAATAAACGAATGATGAATGTGGAACTTCTATACATAATATGATAATAGCAAAAGGTAGAAAGCATATAACAATGAATAAGTAAGATATATATCCTGATAGGCAAACACATCGGTTATTCATATTAAACAGCTTTGAGACCTTGTCATTGACCTCAACCATTAGCAACGTGAATTCTGCAAACTCATATGAGTTGGTAGATAGTTGCATTTTCAATTTGATACAAAAAGTAGAATATGGATAAACTGAATAAGAGATACATACCATATATGCAAAAACAATGAATCTCCATTTAATGACCTTGATCATTAAACTTTTTCTTACTTTTAGAAATGTTAAATCTCTCAACTCATCTACGGGTATAATGAATCTCCATTTAGCCCCTGTTTGGCCCCAATTTTCAAAATCTCATTTTTCCTCTAGCTCATTCTATGGGACCTATAACTTTTTAACCACATTTCATCAATTTTTATCAAAGTCTACTAAATATCTGATTTTTAACTAAACCAAGCAGGGGCTTAATATCGGATTATTAGTTGCATATTTCAAAATGATTCAATGGTTAGTCTCCAAAGTAGGAAGTTTAACACCAGTTGTGCCTGCTAGCACATCGTTGCATTGGAGGTAGAGCAAACTTTGTGCTTCATGAGCTGCAATTTTGATTTTCGAGGAGTATCATGATGCATCATAAAGTGCATTAAATTATAAACTAGAGGGTTTTGGGGAAAATGGAATAACCAAATAGTATTGCAGGAAACGAGTTACTTCCTTTTACTTTTTGGTCAGAAAATGTGGTTATGTAGAATGGAATGTTTTATTTTTAAACGCCATGGGAACAATGAAATGGAAAGTTAAAGTCTTCAAACAAAACTTCAAATTTGGTTCTACAGAAGCTATATTATAAGACAAAAATCAAGACAGTGTAATTAATGTCCGCAGCATAGGTACATGTTAATGTTTCACAAAACAATGGGGAAGAGTTGAAATTATTACCGTAAAGGTACCTTTTTTTTTCCCTTTTTTTTTTATCAAGATATGAAAATTTGACCAAGCACCTTTGAAAATTGGATTACATGATCTGAATGGATTGAAATGCGTCAATTAAGAAAAATCAATGAATTAATGAAAAATTAGGTGTGGTTCAAATTAAAAATTCTAACCAAAACATGAATTAAATTTTTAAGCAGGAGCATTTGAGGTTTTTATGATAAACGACAGCTTAGTTTCAAGCTCTAAACTGA